AGGCACTGGCACTGTTATGTTACTTTAAAATCTAGTCGTTACTTGTTGTCATATTTCATTTACATTTTTGCTGGTTTTCTTCAACAAATCTAGCATAAGCCTAGTATTATAGTGCAAGTTGGTGTTACTTTGCCTTATGGCCAGTGCAGTAAGCGACTGTATTATCATCAATAACACTGCTTGTTGGCCATAGATATATACACTAGATATCGCATAGGGACCCTGAGCATGCATCAATAGTGCCGCCACATTGGTACAGTGCTCCCAGGACAAATGTCATTCAACCGCACTAGTCAACACAGTTATTACGTGAAGATGCGGGACTTTAGCGCTGTCTACGGGTGTAGTAACGAGCAAACAAAGAAAACAAAGCACAAAGGCAGAACATTTCATAGGTAATATTACGTTTTTTTCTGTTTTTGTTTGTTGTGAACTTTTGTGCTACTCAGGTAACGTTATTGATGATGACAGTCACTGCATTCAGCATACGGCAAAGCAGCTCCAACTCGCACTAAACACTCGGCTTATGCTAGTTTTGTTGAATAAAGTCAGCAAACAATGCAAAAGAAATATGACAACGAGATGCTGCGCTGCCAGAAACTTGTATTATTGTCGGCTAACGTTAGTGAAAGAGTCGTTCGGGGGATTCATTCTTAAACGAATCGCTCCCTCCGTCAGTATGAGAAGTGAAAGCAGGAGAGGAGCTGTGTTTCAGGACATTATTAGATCAGATTTAACAGGGAGGGTGAATAGTACATTTCCATACACACAAACACAAGCTTTTTGTCAGGAATGCCCATGCGGTCACTGATCCATCAATGTAGAAAAGTGATGTAAAATTATAATTTTTGTAATTACAAAAAAAAATGTACATACTAACATCCAGGAAAACTCCCGATCATAGATATATGTGTATATGTGTATATCTCTGGCTTTGGATGGCCACAGTCCTCCACTGTACCTTGGTCCTGCATTCATTTCAAAGGAGCCCTACCCTGTAGCAAGATGGCGGCGCTATTGATGCATTCCGTCCAATAGACAACAATAGGCCCGGCCACATCTAATGTATATCTCTATGCTTGTTGGCAAATTCAATCCAACATACCAGCACAGATCTTTAAAAAACTAAATCTTACCTTTGAAATGTTCTGCCTTTTTACTTGGTATTATTTGTTTGCTCATTACTACACCTGTACGCAGCGCAAAAGTCCAGCATCTTCAGACTGGCATTAGTCTTGAATGCTGATGAGTTTTGTCATGGAAGCCCTGTACCAATATGGTGGCGGTATTGATGCATGCTCAGGGCCTGTATGAGATATCTAATGTACATATTTATGATATCCCTACTATGAATTTACCACCCTGATGTCAAAACTACATCAAGATAATATCGAACATTGGCATCAAAAATCAATTAGATGACAGTCATTTCATGTATGTTTTAGGTATTGTTTTGAAGCTAATGTTTGATCTCAGTTTGTTTTAGCTTCGACATTAAGGAAATCAACAAAAAAATAAATCAACATATGTCATTAGGCATATTTGTTGTGTTTTATTGATGTTTATGATGTTGTTTTGATGACAAGGGCTGCCTTTTAGTCTAATTTTATTTATGTCCTTTACTCGCTAGCTTTGCTGAGCACTGCATGTATATAAAAGACATGTATTTTTACACAAGACATACATGTGATTTGCGTATATTGCCATATATCATATTTCTCTATGGATGGTGTGAAGTGTTCATTGGCTATTTTATATATATAAACCTGTGCTTGCTCTCAGCGACACACTAAACCCTCAGCGCTGTCTTAAAGAAGCTCCTGCTGAAGTGTGATGGCCATGAATAGTACGAGGTGTAATTATAGCAGAAATGTGCTGCGGGAGATTTTATTGGTTCCTGTAAGAGTGTCTGTTAAACACTTAAAGAGCCGTAAAGCAACTGCAGTTAACCCCAAAGGGTCAAAGGTCACCGTAAGGACTACGTTTACCTTCTAATTATGCCTCATTTTTCACCTGAAACAACCTGAGATCTATTTCTCTGTTCACACACACAATTAAAATGCAGACAGACAAACACACACTCACACACAAGCACATGCATGGACAGCCATGCATACACAAACACGCACACATACAAACACATGACACAAAAAGTGAAGCATGGTCTACATCTTAATATTAGTATTTATTTATATTTCATCTAAATGCATTACTATAAATCCCCCATCGGTGTGTTAAACTGAGGGTGTCCTTATTGTTTCCCCCACAGACAGCGGCGGCAGATCTCCGTCATGAGTGGGCTGGGTGTGTGTCGATACGGCAGCCGGTTGGAGTGCTGCTACGGCTGGAAGAAAAACACTAAAGGACAATGTGAAGGTGATTTAGCAGATAAAAGCAGATCTACAATAAGATTGCTATTACATTTAGTGAATCTCCTTTTTCTGTGTGTGTGTATATATATATATATTCAGATTCCCTTAAATTTTTGACTCTTTGTTATATTGCCGCTGTTTGCTAATTATTTTAGTTAATTATTTTGTACACACAGCAGCCCATACTGACAGAAAAACACTGAATTGTTGACAAATGAAAGTTTAAATCAAGCACAGTTAACCCAGATAGCATATGAATGTGGGCCACTTTAGGCAGTCATGCAGCACTGGTGGTATTCATTCAGTGAGCCTGAACCCACAAAGCAAAATTTCTCTGGCCCAGCTCTGGCCCACACAATCAGGTTTTGCTTGGCCCACATGCTGCAGTGAATTACGGTACATGACTGGACCAAATCTGGCTTCCAGACAAGGGCCAAACACGGACCATATCTGGGCCAAGTCTCAGCCAAGTTAATAACTCATAACTGGGCCTGAACTGGGCCAGATAGGTTGGTGTGTCACGGTTGCAATGAAATTGATAAACCTATGGAGTGATGCGCTTTAGGCACACTATGGGCACGCTTTTTCTCAAAGTGACCTGATTGGTAGATTTTTTTTTTTTCTTTACTCAAAAATTATTTTGGTGTATTTTAAATGTGGGTCAAGACTAGCCAAACTCACATGGCCCACTTATCAAATTTTTAAATCTGCGCCAAATACTACGTTTTTCATCTGGCCCAAATCTTGTGTGCCGCCTTAAAGACGGTGCCACCTCTGCCAAACCCGGGCCATGTTTGGCCCACATGCTGTATGTCAGTGGTGGATGAATGCCTGCTGTGCCAGCTTTTTGCCAAATCTGGGCCAGAATTCTTTGCTACTAGGGAAGTGGCCCCCATGTACAATAGCAAATAAATGGGCCATTTAAGGCAACAATTTGGCACTTATGGCATAATGTAATCTGAATCTAAGCCATCATTGCCAATCAACTGCCATCATTCCAATCAGCATGTGGTCCAGTCCAGATGTAAGTGTCTGTTGTGGGCCGGATCTGGGACAGAAAAAAAGCAAACTGTGGCCCAGAATAGGGTCAGATCTGGTTCATTTGGTTGAATTCTGGCCAATACGTGGTACTGCTTTGGCTTATTGGTGGGCCAGATCTGACAAACAGGAACAGACCGCTCTAGAGCCATCATTTCATTCAGTATGTGGTCCAGATGTAAGTGTATGGTGTGGGCCAGATCTGGGACAGAATAAAAGCAAACTGTGGCCCAGAATAGGGTCAGTTCTGATTAATTTGGTTAAATTCTGGCTGATATGAGGTATTGATATGGCTTGATTGTGGCCCAGATCTGGCAAACAGGAGCGGACCGCCCAAGTGCCATTATTCCATGCGGTATGTGGCCCGGATGTAAGTGTCTGGTGCGGGCCGGATCTGGGCCAGAACAAAAGCAAACTGTGGCCCAGAATAGGGTCAGTTCAGGTTCATTTGGTTGAATTCTGGCCAATATGTGGTACTGCTTTGGCTTATTGGTGGCCCAGATCTGACAAACAGGAGCGGACCAGCCTAGAGCCATCATTCTATTCAGTATGTGGTCCAGATGTAAGTGTATGACGTGGGCCGGATCTGGACCAGAACAAAAGCAAACTGTGGCCCAGAATAGGGTCAGTTCTGGTTCATTTGGTTGAAATCTGGCCAATACAAGGTACTGCTTTGGCTTATTGGTGGCCCAGATCTGACAAACAGGAGCGGACCGCTCTAGTGCCATCATTCCATGCGGTATGTGGCCCGGATGTAAGTGTCTGGTGCGGGCCGGATCAGGGACAGAATAAAAGCAAACTGTGGCCCAGAATAGGGTCAGTTCAGGTTCATTTGGCTGAATTCTGGCCAATATGTGGTACTGCTTTGGCTTATTGGTGGCCCAGATCTGACAAACAGGAGCAGACTGCTCTAGATCCATCATTCTATTAAGTATGTGGTCCAGATGTAAGTGTCTGGTGTGGGCCGGATCTGGGACAGAATAAAAGCAAACTGTGGCCCAGAATAGGGTCAGTTCTGGTTAATTTGGTTAAATTCTGGCTGATATGAGGTATTGGTATGGCTTGATTGTGGCACAGATCTGGCAAAAAGGAGCGGATCGCCCAAGTGCCACCATTCCATGTAGTTTGTGGGCCGGATGTAAGTGTCTGGTGCGGGCTGGATTTGAGCCACATGAATTTTGCTAGCTGGGAACCTACACTACATACTACTTTTCATTTCGTTTTACACTTGAACAACTAAATAAATGCTGAAGTCTGTTTAACTGATTGCATTTTAATTACAGTACAACATCGACGCTTTGAAAGAAACCTTATCAAATTGAAGATATTCACATTATCCGTTCACCAGAAGTTTATCACTAGGGGAAAAACACTAGCTGTGAATATACCCTATTTTCATTCAAAACATGGAAACACTGGGCTTTACTTTCCATCCACAAACTTTTCTGATACACATTGCTTGTTCTGCGGTCTGAGCTCTGAGGGGGATTGTGGGACATGAGCTGCCGTTGTTTTCCAGACGTGTGTGGTTTTGTGAACAGATTTGACCTCCGCTGTTTTCTTCATTAATATTTCGGCATGTTTTTCCAGCTCAGTGTGATCTGGGCTGCAAACACGGCGAGTGTGTCGGCCCCAACAAATGCAAGTGTTTTCCTGGATACACTGGAAAGACCTGCAGCCAAGGTTTGTGTGTCTCAACTGTTTATTTATTTACAATATACGCTATTAGACACTGCACTGTAAAACATATGGGTTGATGAACAGATTCTGTATTTAGTGATGCACAAGTGTTTATTTAGGAGGTGTCACAGTGCTCATTCAGTAAAGGCACAGCTAAACAGATGTGTTTCAGTCTGGATGTGAATGTGCCTAATGTTGGAGCACATCTGATCATTTATGGAAGCTGACTCCAGTGGCAATATTAGCACAGTAACATCCTATTCACAAGGGGCTTCAGCATCAACGCTTGACAGAGGGCGTGTCTGAAGTTGGGGCTGATGCGATCGTCATAGCAGCGTCAGCCAATGAAATTTGTCAGCAATAGGCCACTGTCTAATCTGGTGTATTTGCATAAAGCGATCTGATTGGCTGAAGCTTCCGTCGGCGCTTGAAAAGTTAAGCTAGTCCCAACTTCTGCAGCGAGCAACGCCACTGAAGCGGCGCTGATGGATCCACAATGCAGTTCGGCAACGCCTGACGTCACCCATTTAAAGAGAATGGAAAGCGTTGACGCTGACGCCCCGTGTGAATGGTAAGGTCTGACTTTGCTTAGACAAAAGTGTCATCACTGAACAGAAATAATGTCCAGTATAGAATATAAAGTCCTGCTGCAGTGGAGACAGAATGAATATTGTGTCTGACTCCATCATGAGCTTGGAGGACTGCATCCATACATCTCTGACAGACTCACATCACTGATTAATAAAGTCATCTGGAATGGCAAAGATAACGGCAAAGATGGCAAAGATAGATGAATGGCTCAACCTTCATCTTACCCCAGACATGCTCAATAATGTTCATGTCTGGTGACTGGGTTGGCCAATCCTAAAGTACATGGTCTTCTTTGCTTTCAGGAGCTTTGATTAAAAAATTGACTAAGCCGGATAGAAAATGAATGAATGAATGAATGAACGAACGTACAAACGAACGAACGAATGAATAAATGAATGAACGAACGAATGAATGAATGAATACTATGGAAGTCAATGGCTACCAGTTTCCAACATTCTTCAAAATATCTTTTTTTCCATGTTCAACAAAAGAATCAGGTTTGTGAATGCTCAAAAACTTTGGGTGATCTATCATTTTAATGCCTTTTAATCTGTTCTGTATGTCTATAAACACTGTAAAAATATTTGTAAATGATCAAAAATCAAAATGATACTTTGAATAAAAACATGAATCACGAAACACGGAAAACTGATCATTTACAAATATTTTTTACAGTGTTTATGGACATACAGGACAGGTTAAAAGGCATTAAAGTGGTAGTTCACCCAATTTATTTTTTTATTTACTCACCATTCACAAACCTGATTCTTTCTTCTGTTGAACACGGGAGAAGATATTTTGAAGAATGTTGCAAACTGGTAGCCATTGACTTCCATAGTATTCATTCATTTATTTTCTATCCGGCTTAGTCGCTTTTTTTAATCAGGGGTCACCACAGCGGAATGAACCACCAACTATTCCAGCATATGTTTTACGCAGCGGATGCCCTTCCAGCTGCAACCCATCACTGGGAAACACCCATACACACTCATTCACTATGCACAAATTAGATTACCCAATTCCTCTATTGCGCATGTGTTTGGATGTGGGGGAAACCAGAGCACCCGAAAGAAACCCACACCAACACGGGGAGAACATGCAAACTCCACACAGAAATGCCAACTGACCCAGCTGAGACTCGAACCAGCAACCTTCTTGCTGTGAGCCGACAGCACTACCTACTGCGCCACAGTGCAGCCGACATTTACTACCATAGTAATAATTCATTCATTTTCTTTTCGGCTTAGTCCCTTTATTAATCCAGCGTCGCCACAGCGGAATGAACCACCAACTTATCCAGGATATGTTTTGCGCAGCGGATGCCCTTCCAGCTGCAACCTGGTACTGGGAAACACCCAGACACACTCATTCACACACTCATACACTACGGCCAATTTAGTTAATCAATTCCCCTATAGCGCATGTGTTTGGGCTGTGGGGGAAACCGGAGCACCCAGAGGAAACCCACACCAACACGGGGAGAACATGCAAACTCCACACAGAAATGACAACTGACCAAGCAGGCACTCGAACCAGCAACCTTCTTGCTGTGCGGCCAAAGTGCTAACCACTAAGCTACCTTGCTGCCATCAAATAAAAAGCTATTATACAGACATAGTTAACCTGCATTATAGCGATGTCTATGAGTACATGCTTATTAAAGTGTTTGTGTGTTGTGATTTGAGAAACGGGATGTAATGATAATGTGTAATAATAAAGAAACGCTACGCTCTGTTAAACATGGAGAGATCATTTTTGCAAAATGTCTGTGACTGAAATGTACATTTGTTAATTGTGTATTTTAAATGTTATAAAACACGGAAGGATTTTAAAATACACTCTCTCTCACTCTCTCTCTCCTTCAGATCTGAATGAGTGTGGTCTGAAGCCTCGTCCCTGTGAGCATCGCTGTATGAACACATTCGGCAGCTATATGTGCTACTGCTTAAACGGCTACATGCTAATGCCTGATGGATCCTGTGCAAGTGAGTGACCACGATATATCCAGAGAAATGTTCACTTATTCATTCATTTTCGGTTTAGTCCCTTTATTAATCCGGGGTCGCCACAGCAGGATGAACCTCCAACTTATCCAGCACGTTTTTTACGAGCGGATGCCCTTTCAGCCGCAACCCATCTCTGGGAAACAGAGGAATGTTTACATACACAATATATCGTTTCAGCATGGATATTACAATGTGTGCATCCGCAATAGTCACATCTCAGGATCTGCAATGTTGAATAGCCATTATAGTTGACCAGGAGCCACAGTTCAGAAACATGAGATCTGTAAAAACATGAGATAAAGGAGCAAATCTTTGTCATTTGCAAGTGTTTTTAAGGCCTGTGACTGCATACTGAGAGAGTTTAAAGCATCCAGGCACAAGGAATAATGATATTTGTAACTTTAATCTAAAATATTTTATCAACTTATTCACACAACGAAGATTATGCAGTGCTATTTCCAACCCAGGCTCATTCTGAAAACGTAGTCCCATGGACATATCTGGAGGCCGCGAAATACGTCCCGGGAGGTATGTATTTGTGCAGTTTTGTTGCGCGAATTTGGGGCCGCTGTGTGTGCTTTTTCACATCTCCAACATCTCTCGCGAGTGCCGTTCATGCCCGCGCTGTTCTCGCATAAACCCATCGTAAGCCGCTGTCAGGTGACTGTCTGTCCGACTGACTAAATGATTGACTGGGCGACAGGCCAATCGGCCGACCCACCCTCCTCCTCCTTCTTCCCTAAACCCAACCGGTTTTACCGATTGACCCGCCCGCCCGATTGCTTCCCTAAACCCAAGCAACGATTTACAAAAGCCGTCCAGAAAAAGAAAAGCCCTCGTCTGATTTTTACCACGTTTTCGGATTTCACCACATTCTCACCCTGTTATGAACTTGTTCACTTTATCTTTTGGATTCTGTCCAAAAAAGTCTTTCTTCGAAATCTTACCTGATTTCTGGAACCGCTCTTCCCTGGACTCGAACCCGGTCATCGTTGTTAGCTCCTCTCTACATCTCAAGTCCACCGACGTACACGACGAGCTAACTTGACAAACTTGTAGAGGTGGGAAAGCCTTCCACACGGAGGTAAGCAGTCAGCCGGCGAGCGCGAAAAGGACACATACCGCCCCGTAGTGTTTGCTTAATCCAGGGGTGACCAATCTCAGTCCTGGAGGGCCGGTGTCCCTGCAGGGTTTAGCTCCAACTTGCCTCAACACACCTGCCTGGATGTTTCAAGTATACCTAATAAGACCTTGATTAGTTTGGTGACCACTGGCCTAATCAAATGAAATGCAGCCATACATACCTCCGGCTACATAAATCACGGCCTCCAGAAACGTCCGCGGGACTACTTTTTCAGAATGAGCTTGGGTTGGTTGTGTCACATCTGTTTATTTAAATTCTGCACCTGAATTCTTACCATATAGAGCTATTTAGGCCATGTGTTGAAATTGTATTGCATTGTTTTGAATTGAAACTGTACAGCCCTAATGAGCTGTTACACTGTGTGTGTCTGTCTGTCTGTCTGTCTATCTGTCTGTCTGTCTGTCTGTCTGTCTGTCTGTCTGTCTGTCTGTCTGCCTGTCTGTCTGTCATTGCAGACTCCAGGACGTGCTCTCTGGCTCACTGTCAGTACGGCTGTGAGGAGGTGCAGTCTGAGGTTCGCTGTCTCTGTCCATCCCCTGGCCTTCAGCTCGGGTCTGATGGAAAGACCTGCGAGGGTGAGAACTGAAATGAAAACATTCATTCATTCATTCATTGATCTCCTTCAGCTTAGTCCAAGGGTGTCCAAACTCGGTCCTGAAGGTCCGGTGTCCTTTATCTTTTAGCTTCAACCCCAATTAAACACACCTGAACCAGCTAATCAAGCTCTTTCTAGGTATACTAGAAACTTCCAGGGAGGTGTGTTGAAGGAGGTTGTAGCTAAACTATGCAGGACACGGGCCCTCCTGGACCGAGTTTGGACACCCCTAGCTTAGTCCCTTTATTCATCAGGGCCCAGTTTTTCAAAAGTAATCCACTAGGATTTTGGATAAGGGATTGGATCAAATCTTGAAAATGGGTTTTTCAAAAGAAAAAACGGATTACGTAATCGGATTAGATCACATAATCCAATCTTTGTTTTGATCCGGATCAAACCTTTAGTTTGGGTTTTTCAGACCTTTTTTGTAGGATTTGGATCACTTTGATCCAAAAAACCTGGATTAAACTGATCCCATCAGAAGGGTGGATTTAGCGTGGATTTCATGCCCAAAATGTGATGAAAACTTCAAAAAATTATTAAATAAAACTACATTTGGATCATGCAGTATCTTACGAGATATACAATTTATTCATAAGGTTTTAATTTTATTTGTTCATCTGTCAGGCTATAGTGATTATAGGCTTTAACGTATTCAGCCTTTCAGTATAGGCCTACAGCAAAGTAGAAAGAGTTTGGCCTCATAAAATAATCCCCCAAACAGCTGTCAAAATTTACCAAAAACAATACATTTTATTATGTTACTAATTGATATATAGTCCAAGGAATATATATATATATATATATATATATATATATATATATATATATATATATATATATATATATATATATATATATATATATATATATATATATATATATATATATATATATATATATATATATATATATATATATATATATATATATATATATATATATATATATATATATATATATATATATATATATATATATATATATATATATATATATATATATATATATATATATATATATATATATATATATATATATATATATATATATATATATATATATATATATATATATATATATATATATATATATATATATATATATATATATATATATATATATATATATATATATATATATATATATATATATATATATATATATATATATATATATATATATATATATATATATATATATATAAAAATATATATATATATATATATAAATATATATATATATATAT